CAGAAACTTCTAGAAATGCGTACCCAGAGGGAAGGCTTCCTCGTTTGGCTCTCATACAGTTGTCACATCCATTCAACTCGTGGGCCATAGTAGAGAATAGAGAAAGCCTCTCCTTGGTAGGGTCCCGGGATGTCACGTAATTCCTACATTAATGATGATTAAATCCTACCATAAATGCCTGAGTGTCATCTGAGTAGTTCACCTGGTGTCCTCACTGCTGTGACTGGTTCAAGTCTAGCATTTTGCTGTATGATGATGGTGATGTTTTTAATTTTTCCTGCTATTTCTTCTTTTATTCCTCCTTTCTTACCTTCATTTAATTTAATAAGCCCTTTATTCCATTTTTTTTCCCTTAGCTTTTTAGTCGTGCATTCTTTGAGTAGCCTCTGACGGCTGCCTGGTAGCATCTGTCTCGCACTGTTGTCCAGCTCATGATACTTCACCCGCCCACCCCACGCAGTGTGGTTTTCACGAGGCAGCTTAGCTCTGGCAGCCCCTCTCCTGCCTGTGCATATCTGTTTCATTTGCTTCGGTGCATGTCGTCTGCCCCTTGGGTGTTGTACTCTTGTTCTAAGCAGTCCATGCTTGCTTTTGTGCCTGCCCTTTCCTGGTGTGCCTCGCCCACTCCTGCAATCCTCGGAGCTCTGGAGTCTCTCCTCCAGCACCAGGACCCCACCCCCTTCAGGTATTTCTTGCAGTGTAGTAGGTTGACAGTTCTCCCAGCTCCTGTTTGTCTGAGCAGCTGTATTTGCTGGTGCCTCCTGAAAGTGGTTCTGCTGGATCCACATGCCAGGCTGGCAGGCTTTCAGGGTCACCATACTGACTTTCTGTCATCTTCTGACTGTCAATGTTTCTGTTGCAAAGTCAGCCATCTGTCTGATTGTTGCTCCTTTGAAAGGTTTTGTATCTGGCTGATTTTTCTCTCTGCTTGAGTTTTTGGCATCTTGACTATGATATGCTCAGGTGTGCTTATCCTGCCTGGAATTTATTTGATCTTCTTTGATAGATTCCAGTTTTCTGTTGAAAGTCATCTGTTTGAGGATGACTTGGAAAGTACCCTCAGGAAAATTCCAGAATGAATGTGGATCACAGTCCCTGTGTGTCTTTTCTGTGAAGAATCGTGCTTCCAAGCCTTGGCTGTGTGGCTACACGCCATCACCTCAGTAGTGTCCAGGTCTCTCCTGCGGCTTGTACAGGTTGTTTTCAATTGTTTAATTTTGGCCAAACTTGGAACTTCCTGGAGTAACTATTCAATAGTTGTGGTCATTTAGAGTTTCATGAATAATCCTGAAGAGGGGCTGGGGCTGGGGCTCAGTGGTAGAGCACTTGTCCGGCACGTGTGAGGCCCTGGGTTCCATCCTCAGCACCACGTAAAATCAATCAATAAATAAAATAAAGGTATTGTGTCCATCTACAACTAAATAATAATAATAATAATAATAATAATAATAATAATAATAATAATAAATTCTGAAGAATTAGTATAATAATGTTTTTTCCTGATACATGTGTTATTTTGAAGAAAACAATAAACAATTTGTGGTTTTAAAAGATGCCCCGCTTCCTAGGCTGTTCCAACTAGTTTAGAAAAGCAAGCTAATCAGATATTGATGTGTTAGAGTCTCTTTGTAGGTGAATTTTCCTCCATAGTCTTGTATAAGGGTTTCTAGGGCCAGTCAAGGATTCCCCAGGTATCCCCAGGTGGAAATCTCAGAGCACTCAAAGAGACACACCATCCTGAACGCCATGTAGTTAGGCAAATAGGCTGAACATCTTTGTGATTCTCAACAAAAAGTGTGGCTCAAAAGTCCTTAATCAATCTATAGATGCCATTGAGACACATTTCTCTCCTATCCCACTGGGCTGGTACTCCTTACCTCCTCTTTCCTGTTCCCTGCTAGTTCACTTAACTCACATATAGAATCCCTCCTGTGTAGGAGACACAGTGCAGGACTGGGTTTAGTAAGTGTGCAGAATCATTGATGAATTCCCTCTGATCATCAGTAATCCCTTTGCTTTTGTGCAGGTGAACCAGGCACATACATAATTCTACAAAAAGGCAAAATGTGTCGCGACAAATGAGTAAATAGCTTCTGCATTGTTAATCTTGCAGTCTGCTTTACGTCCCTGTAATTCTCACCCATTTCTTTCACTACTACATTAAAAACGGTATAATGTAGTGGATATGAAGAAAATCATTCTCTTTTAGTTAAAAAAAGTTATACAAAAACAATATAACAGTTTTTTAAAAGAAATACACATTTTATTGTCCCAGCTCCTTAATATAGCAGTGTAATTATTGGCTTGCTTCTCTTTGATCTTTTCCATTTTACATATTTTATATCATTACCACAATATATAATTTTATACTCAGTATTTTTATTGTCAAACTTTTTTTAACTTCAACATACTCTTCATAATTATACAGTTTTAACCAGTGTTAGCTATGTTTTTCTCATTGGTATGCTCATATTTTAACAAGTTTTCTTTTGTTAGGTGGATATTTTTTTAGGTTTCAATTTTATAAATATTGCTATGTCAGACGTCTTTTCAGGAATCCCACTCCCCAAAATAATCCAACCAGGAAGCCACAGCACAGTGGGAAGTGGGAATATCTTTGCTTCTTTCCTCACTTCCTCTCTCTGTCTCTCTCTCTCTGTTATAGCCACACCCCCTGTCCTTTTTTGCCCCAGCACTGGCCATGAAACCCAGGTGCACTTTACTGCTGAGCTACACCCCAGCCTTTTTTATTTTTTTATTTTGAGACAGGGTCCCACTAAATATCCCAGGCTGACCTTGAACCTGGGAACCTCCTGCTACAACTTCCTGAATAGCTGGAATTACAAGTGTGTACTGCCACACCCAGTTTTTATGATTTTTAAAATTTTTTTAATTGGTTCTTTTTAGTTATACACAACATTAGGATTCATTATGACAAAATTATAAAAACATAGAATATGTTTGCTCTAATTCAGCCCCCGGTACTTCCTCTTTCCCTCCCTTGGTCCCTCCCCTATTTCCTTTCTTCTATTCTACTGATATTTATGTCAGTTACTTATAGTTTCTTTAAGTTGATGTCTTGGGTGTCTGTGATGGTGAGATTCACTGTGGTATATTCGTATATATACGTAGGAAAGTTGGGTCAGACTCATTCCAGTGTTCTTTCCTTTCCCATCTATTTTTCCTCCTCTTTAGTCCCCTTCATCTACTTCACTAATCATTCTTCTGTCCTCCCCCGCGTCCCCCTTTATTTTGGATTAGCTTCCGCATATCAGAGAAAATATTTGATCTTTGACTTTTGGGGACTGGCTTATTTCACTTAGCATGTTGATTCATCATACCAACTGTGGTTATATAAAAATATTTCATGGTTCCACCAGTGGTTTTATTTTATTTTATTTTTATTTTATTGTATTAGTTACACATGACAGTACAATGATCTTGACATATCATACATTTGAATCAAAAGGGGTATAATTTTTCATTTTTCTGATTGTACAGGTTGCAGAATCACATTGGTCATACAGTCACTATATACATACAGCAATAATAATGTCTATTTTATTCTGCTGCCCTTCCTATCCCCCCTTTCCCTCCCCTCCCCTCCCTTCACTTCTCTCTATACCCAATCTAATGTGACACACTTCTTTTTTTTTCCCACTTTGATTTTATAATAGCAATTATAAGGAGATAGAACTTCAAAGTATTGACTTATTTTAGCAGCTGTTAGTCAGCTTTCCATCACTGTGATAAAAATGCCTGAGATAAACAATTTGTAAAGAGGAAAAGTTCATTTTGGCTCACAGTTTCAGAGGTTTCAGTCCATGGTCACTTGGCCCTGTTGCTTTGGGCCTGTGGCAGTGCAGCATATCATGGGGGTAGCATGGGGCAGAGTAGGCGTTCACCTCTTAGTAGCTGGGAAGCAAAAAGATAGAAAGAAGGGAAAGGAGGGGCCAGATCCCATTACCCCTTCAAGGGCGTGCCCCCAGTTCCTAATTCCTTCCACCAGGGCCTACCCCTATATCTTCTGTCACCTTCCAGCAGCACCACAGCTGGGGACCAGGCCTTCAGCACATGGGCCTTTGGGAGACATTTAAGATCCAAACTACGGCAGCAGCTATAAATGATGCTTTAGATCCCCTTTAGTTTTTATTTCTTTCGGTTATTAACAAAATTCAAACATTTTCCTTATTTGTACTGCATTTTGTATTTAGAGTATCGTTTCAGCACTGAGCCTTCAACTATTAATAAATCATCTGTCTGTTACCTTATACTATCCCACGGGGCATTTGTCATGAGGGCTAAATGAGATTCTTGTCTTAGCATATTCTGAACAGTGCCTGACCCATAATAGGCACGTACGGAGTGTCCTTAGGGGAATAAAAGTGCAAGTACATTATATCTTCAGATCTTTTCTTTTTCATCCTTGGGGAAATGAGAGTGTTTGTTTGTTTTTGTTATTGAGCATATTAAAAACAAATTTTCATTTCAAGTCATTTGAGATAGCTTCAGTATTTTCAAATGAATTATTAATCACATATAGTAGAAATTGGAGCCTTTAATTATTTTGTATGACTTTAATTATATGAAGTCTTTATGTTAACAAAAAATCTTCAGGGCTGGGGCTGTAACTCAGTGGTGGTAAAGCACTCGCCTCGCATGTGTGAGGCACTGGGTCAATCCTCAGCACCACATAGAAAATAAATGAAGATATTGTGTGTCCATCTACAACTTAAAAAAAAAATTAAAAGTCTTCACTCACAAGAGGGAAAGAAATTGAAGTTAATTGAATTGTTTAGTTTCAAAAAGCAATCTCCAATCCCTGTATGTTCTTAAGTATAATACAGGTGGATTTTTGCTAATAACATGATTTCCAGATTGTCAAACTGACAAAACCCGCCATCAGAGATAACGAGGAGAGATGATGGACATCCTGTTGAGGTATCTTCCTCCGACAGGTGGCCATCCCAGCTCGTGTCCTTCCTCTGCTTTTTCTCTAGGTCAAGAAGGCCTTCTTTGCCTTGGTGGCCAACGGTGTCCGGGCAGCGCCACTGTGGGAGAGTAAAAAGCAGAGTTTTGTAGGTGAGCAGGGCGAGCCTGGGGGAGTCTGAAACAGGAGGACAGCTGGGGAATGTGCAGGGCGCCCTTGGAGCTCAGGTGGTGAACCTGTTGCTGGTCACAGGACTTCCTTGCTTTTGCACACGGGTAAGGCAGGACTGCCGGAGACCCAGAACACTGCCGTGCTTTCGCTGGAGTCCTTTGGTGATGTTCTTTTAAGTTAGCAACTCTTTGACACTCTGAAGAGCTTGTGTGCCTTTGTCAACCCGGGGACAAAAGCCCACCCTTGTGCGTGGCAGATGCGCATTTGCAGCCCTAGCTCAGGGGTGCCTGTTCAGCACATCATTTTGAAATAGCCTGTGTCTGCTTCCCCCCAGGTGATAATTCCCTTAGGGAAGCGGGTCATATCTTAATCTTCTGGCACATAGTAGGTACACAGCAAATGTTGACCCTCTTTCCTAAAACTGTTTTATTTATAGTGGAAAACCATCTCAGTGCTTCCAGAGGGTCATGTTCCTAAAGCTATATTCCTGAGAATTCTTTATTAGACTATACCTTATTTTTAAAGTATTTTAGATCATTTAGCTCTTTTAGATGTTTTATAACAATTGACAATTTTTTCCCATTGATTTGCCAAATATTCTCATTCCGTAGCTAAATTTCAGGTTTAATTTCAGCTAGAATTATACCTCTAATTAGACATAGAAAATACATTAATAGAAATATATTAACCTATGCTTAAGATCTTTAAGGTATATTTTATTAGCTTTTTTAGTAAATATTCGAGGTTCACTTGCCATTTAAATTTTCCTTGTCCATGTCCACAGTTTTGTTTTTAAACATACTATTCTTTGTTCCAGGAATGTTAACAATCACAGATTTCATAAATATACTGCATAGATATTATAAGTCACCTATGGTAAGTGGCATTGATCCTTACTATTTTATTAATTGGTACTGTATATGTCTGTTTGGGGAGGGGGCATATTTTAAGATCTTTTTGGTATGAGATGAGGGTGCATGGTTCGTTATTTCACATATACGAAGAGGGAATTGCAAGGTGAAGCTACTACCCTCAGTCACATACTCATGGCTTGGTGCAGTTTTGCTCAGGAAAGCTGAAGGGAAATAGCTGCCACATTCCACTCTCAGAGTTCCTCAAGTCAGTGGACCCTATGTTCTGTAAATGTCACTGAGTAGACGCTGCTTGACTTCCAAGAGCATCCTGTGGCAGCAGGGTACTGGGCGTCTGCTGGGCTGAGCACAGGGACACCTGCCCACTGCTCTTGTCCAGAGGGTCAGACCAATGGGGCCTCACACCTGAGATAAGGTAGGAGACCATAGGGTTTATCTTTGCAGGCCTATTAATGTGCATAGAGGTTGATGAGTTTCCCCAGCAATTTCATGGCAAGAGCTATGCGTACTTTATGGTTTTAAAGGACAAAAAAGAAAGTAGAGATTAAAATTGAAAAAATTCAGTGTTGGCTTTTTTCTGCCAGTGAAGGAAAGACTGCTCCAGCTGATGTGAGTAAGCAGCAGAGCCCGCAGAGCCTGCCCCACTGTTCTGCAAGAGTGTAGTTTGAAAACCACTTCTGTCCTTGGTCGAACACTGGGATGTTTATGATTCCACTGGTGTAGTTTTGGGTCTGTCTTTTTGTGAGCGTGAGGAGAGGCAGAGTTGTATACTTTATTTCACTGGCACTACATGGGGCATCTAAAAGGTGTAAGTCAATTCAGTTAATACTGTTGGCCAGTTGTCCACTACAGTCATGCATCACTCAACAAGGGGACACCATCTGAGAAGTGTGTGGGCATTTGACTTCCTTGTATGAAGGAAAATGCTTGCCTAAAATGCTATTATGTAGCATTTCTATGTAAAATACAACAGCGAGTCATGGTGAGACACGCTCTCAGAAGGAAGTTTTAACAAAGACTATAATACTCTATTTTATGTCATGCGACATTCTGATTTCTTGAACGCCACCAAGGCAGGTTAATACTAGGGGTCATATCTTTGCTTTTGGACTAGGAAAACTCAGCACAAGTATGATATTTTATGTTGTTGTTGTTGTTGTTGTTTCCAGTACTGGGGATGGAACCCAGGGCCTCATACATCTAGTCAAGCGCTCTACCACCGAGCAATATCCCCAGCCTACAGTGTGATTTTTAAATGGATGGATTTTGATAAAGTACAGCTAGATCCCATGTGACAAATCTCAGCAATGATTTATTAAATCAAAATTGCTGAAAAGCAGTTGGATCTAAATATAAAGCCCAAAGTTTTTCTTAATACTTGGATACATGTTTTTCTCTGCATTTCTTCTCATTTTCTAACTATAAACAGAAAAATGCTGTTATAAAAGCCGTATCATTTTCCAAGTAGTTTATTTGTTCCTGTATTGTATATGTTAACATTTGTAAATAAGAATTTTTCTTATTTGCAGGTACAAATTTATGAATTAGAGGAACATAAGATTGAAACATGGAGGGGTAAGCACTACTAGGTGCTAAAAATCTTTACTATCCGGGAGAAAATGTTAAACTTAGTGTGTAAAGTATGTTTTAGTATCACACATTCTTTTCTCTATGCTAATAACACATTAGAGAAAACATACTGTTTTTTTTTTTTTTTTGTCTTCATTTTGGAAGTCTGGCTACCCATTCTGGTAATGGGCATGTAGAGTACCCACACAAGCCAGGCCTGGCACTCGGGCTGGCAATGTAGAGGGAGTGAGCTGACCACAGAGCCAGCCCCTGACACCTGCCCTTGTACAGAAAATGCTCCAAGGACCTGCCAGACCTTCACAGAAGTAAGGGTCTGTTCTGATTTAAACTTATTTCTTTCCAAATTATGGCAAAACACAGAACAAGTAAGCCATAACTCTGTGAATGGTTTGGATCAAAAACCAAGGAAATAATTCCAGGAACACTATTTTTTGTCACATTGAAATTCACCCTTTTCAATCGTAACATTTTTCTGCAGTGGAACCATTTTTTGAATTCTTGTTTTGTGATTGCGAATGAGTCTTCCTGAGCCCATGAGTGGATGGTGGAGCAGGCGGGGGGGGGGGGGGTGGGATGGGAGTGAGAGGACCCAGACTGAGTGGAATGAAGAGCCCTTGGAGAGGGTATCCAGGGAAAAGCCTGGATGGAAATGGAGGGACCAGCCAGACGTGGTGGCACACGCTCTAATCCCAGCAACTCAGCAAAGCCCCAAACAACTTAGTGAGACCCCATCTCAAAATTAAAAAGGGCTGGGGATGTAGCACAGCGGTAAAGTGCCCCTGGGTTCAATCGCCAAAACCCCCTCCCAAGAAAAAGAGAGAAAAGAAATGGAGGGAACAACTGAAGGGAAATTTCAGATTGGAAATTCAGTAGTCTGGATTTGCACCTCCCATAGTATGCCCGAGAATACACAATGATGGTCACTGAGAACAATGCTCAGTATCTCAAAAGCTCTGCAGGCCCTTTTAATGAGTTAGAGGCTTTGTTGAGTGATATATTTGATTTATTATCGCTTTCTCAATCCACGCTGAATGAATTAAGTCAACATGGAATCCATATGGCCTGTTATGATGTGATTGTGTAACTTAACATCAGGACCAATAATTCTTATCAAATGATACTTTACCCACTGTTGACCAAGGTATACGTATATTTACATATTTCGTACATGGTATTTGGTAGAAATAATAGTGCTTAGGTATTCTCAACTACCTTCTTGTGCATACCTTGGGAAAGCAAATTAATTACAATTGATACCTTTACCAAGAAAATTTCCATTTGCTGGAAAGATTCCCAGGATTCAGTAGGTTGTGAGCATTAATTTAGTAAAATGAAACAAGAACATTTAAAGAGCAAAGTTTATTATTAACTAATTTTATCTTTTTTTTTTTTTTAATTTTTTATTGTGGGTTGTTCAAAACATTACAAATTTCTTGACATATCATATTCCACACTTTGATTCAAGTGGGTTATGAACTCCCACCTTCACCCCATACACAGATTGCAGAATCACATCAGTTACACATCCATTGATTTACAAATTGCCATACTAGTGTCTGTTGTGCTCCACTGCCTTTCCCATCCTCCACCCATAATTTTATCTTATAACTTATGAAAATTATCTTTAAAGGATTTTGTAAATGCTTCATTTCTTGAGCGTAATTTTAAATTGATAGCATTCTGATAAAAGAGCTGGTATTGCTCTTTTATCAGATTGCTTGACTTTTCCCCCAATGTTATAAATATCTGTTAAAATCCTGTTTTTAAATATTTAGTTTTTCTTCAAAGGCAACATTCAGAGAACAATCAAAGTTGCTTAATACTGCCATACCTATAATTAACAGAATAGTTTTTAAAATTTCTTTTGATGTAGATTTTTAATTCTTTTAATTCTCTGTAAACAGAAGGGTATTTGAATTTCTGTGATAACGGCAAACAGCAAAAATGTTAACTAACTGCGCATTTTCTTTCTATAAATACAGAGCTTTATTTACAAGAAACATTTAAGCCTTTAGTGAATATATCTCCAGATGCAAGGTAAACGTGTATTTTTTTCCCTTTATTTTCATATATCTGTTTTATTATCATGTTAGATAAATAGAAGCAAACAAACAAAACATTCTCCACTCTAAATGGGGCCGGCCTCCCTAACTCCAAATCTGAGTTCATTAAAGTTAGGGACAAGAGAAGTCACAACCATGTTCCTGCACGAGGTTGACATGACCTAGGCAGATGGTCACACTACGCAATCCTGAACGTCCAATCTCCTGTGTTGGGTCAGTGTAGGGAGCTGTGCAGTTGCCAAATCTTGGGCTCACCCCACCCTGCTCAGGCAGTCCAAGAGGACAGAGCCTGGGGATGGTACAGAAACAGTACTCACTCTGATCCTGGAAGGCTTTCATGAAAAAGGATAGTCTAGAAGACATTTTTAAATCTCAAGAACTCTAGAGAGAAAAGGTAAATTATTTGTTTTATTTTTCTCATTTCCAAATCTTAACAGGAAGACACACCCAATAGCCTTCTTGGAGCCAGTCATAGGGGAGGCAGTGAGTAGGCAGAAGGTGGCTCCACCCAGTCCGGTGGCTGGAGCCACAGGCGCCAGTTCCCACCCTGGGAACCCACCCTGAGAGCCCACCAGCTAGCTTGGCCTCTGTGCGATCCCCAGTGCCCTAGCTCCCCTAAGGGCTGTGTGGTCTGCCCTAATCCAGGTCCCTAAATACACTGCGAAGGAGTACTCCCTACAGACTTGAAGCTAGCACTTGTTTCAGATATTTTAACAGATTGTGAAAAACTAAAAATATACTGTGGTCTCCAGATTAAAACTTGTCCATGGGCTGGGGGTGTGACTCAGTGGTACAGCCTTCACCTGGCATGCATGAGGCCCTGGGTTCCATCCCCAGCTCTGGGGAAAAAAATCATAACAGTATTTTAAGTTGATAAGCCTTTTATTATGGTAAATATACAAACACTGGAAATGCTTTAAAGCTGGGATAGTCCAAAGATTTCTGACTTTTCTTTAAAGCCTCCTAACAACTTTAATGGCTTTTCCCGCAGCCTCTTCGATGCTGTGTACTCGTTGATCAAAAATAAAATCCACAGATTGCCAGTTATTGACCCTATCAGTGGGAATGCACTTTATATACTTACTCACAAAAGAATCCTCAAGTTCCTCCAGCTTTTTGTAAGTAGTATTTAGTGTTTCTAAAGACATAGTTGCATTTACTTCAATTAATTCATTTCAAGTAAATTGGCTTCTGTTACTCTCAGTAGTAGATTGTTAGTTTTGAGGTCTCCACTTCTAAACTTTAGTTTTTCAACTTAACTACTATTTGAATTGTACATTCTCAAAGTTGATTTCAGTTAAAAAGCAATCACATTCAAGTGCAAGTACCAAAATAATAAAAACACTTGGAATTAATTCTCCACCTAAATTAGAACATTTTATCACCTAATACCCAAGGGGAGGTAAAACTGTTGACAAGTCAGTCTAATTAAGGACTGCTGTACAAGTAAACTGAACCAATGTTTAGGACAAAAGTTGCTTCATGATGCTTTGATCGGTGTTATGGTTCAAGAAACATGTTCAAAAAATACTGTCCCTGAGGTTATCTTCTTATAAACAACAGCAATACTAGGAAATCCCAAAGCAAATAAAATTTTGTCAAGAGAATACCATGTTGGTCCAAATCAGGCCTCTATTATCCATTCATTTTCTCAGTGGTGTCTGAAATTAGCTGGTCTCATAGTCATTTAAAACCCACAACTTCTTTGGTCCACAATGTGAAAAGAGGCTCAGAAGCGAGACAGCTTCTCTGCTCCCCCTTATTACTGTCACTGAATTTAAAGTTACACATAAGTAGTCAGATAGATCCCTAGGCAGCATTGGTAATTCAGAGGAGGTCATTTGAAAAGTTGTTTTTTCCTAAAGAACATAGTAGATATTAAAAATCTACTTCAAACTAGCTCTTCCACTTTCTCCTCCACAGCTCTGCATAGGAATTAAAATTGCATCCAGTGTAATTCACAGGCTGACCAAGCTCTTCCCCTGGAAGCAGCCTTGAAATATCTTGTTCATCAAACCAGTCTTACATTTTAAAATAGTCTATATATATAAATTACACTTCATGGTTAAATAAATGCTATGAAATAGGAAGGAGAAGAGTAATTTACCAAAAAAATAAACAAAAACATGAAGTTTAATAGACAGTCTAGGGAAAAAAATGAGGGACATATTGACATTGTTTATCAATGTCGATATGTAATCTGGGAATGGGGCTGCCTTATCGTTTAGGTTTTGCAGAAACACCAGGTGTGGGGTAAAGAGGCACTTTTTTTTTAAACATATTTGTTTTTTAGTTGTAGTTGGACACAATACCTTTATTTTGTTTATTTATTTTTATGTGGTGCTGAGAATTGAACCCAAGGCCTTGCACATGCTAGGTGAGCGCGCCTCCACTAGGCCACAATCCCAGCCCAAGAGGCACATTTTCAGACTCCACATGTCCTAGGCCTATAGTGCACTTAATCTTTAAGAGTCATAATTCTGAAATGTGTTAACTATGAGAGCTGCTGGTGCCCGGCACTAGGCTAGCACTTCACAGGCTGAACTACCGCCCCATCAGCTGGGTATTTATTATTAAGCCCATTTTATAGGTGATGCCCCTAAGCAAGGTGAAGTGTCTTGGCTAGGGTTCTGTGGCTGGCAGGTGGCAGAGCTGGTATGCACACCAAGCACTCCAGATCTGCAGCCACCTCTGACAACCGTCTGCTGGCCCGTGAGGTTGTACACAGGGGCGACAGGCCCAGAGTTGCCCAGGCAGTGAGTTGTGAGTTGCAACCCAAGAGCCTCTGCAGGCCCAGACCACCCATGCTGTCACCGCCACACCAAAGGACAGGTGTGAGAGTGTCCCTCTGCAGAGCTAGGTCAGATTTTTTCCCTTATAAAAATAGAGGAGGTTGCCTCTACCCAGTACTGCCTTATATTTGGGCCAATGTGGTAATTAGAATCATGCTACTAGAATATTCAGCTAGAGGTTCTCAGATAAAAATGTGGAATTTAAATAAAGAAACTTCAGGATCTGATTTTTACTGAATTAATGAGATCATAGTCTGAGAAAAGGTAGCATTACCCTTCAGGATATTTGAAAATTAGCCCAAGCCTAGAGTTTAGAACAGGGAATATCCTATATTGAGATGGACTAGATGACCTAATAGGTCTTTCTTTTTTTTTTTTTTTTCTCTAAATTTCTAGGATTCTCATGATTTGAATATTGATGAACTCTTTGACTTGAACATTTTGTTTCTTCTAATTGTTCATCTTTTCCTGATAATTATAAGGTACACCAGGAGGATGGAATCAACTGTACCCTTTATAAAAGGTGGATCTTTGAAACCATAGACCTTATTTTGTTATGTCAAACATGATCCTAGACTTTTCTCTTCTGACTTATCCCTCCTCCTTGAAAACTGCCCATGAAAAGAACATTAATTTTTAAGGGTTCTGTTAATTCTATTCAGCTGGCTTGTTCTTTGTTCCTAATAGACAAAACCTGGAGTCCTCCAAGGAGTGGTCAGGGTGTGGAGTGGGTGGAGTGAGGACTAGCCTCGAGGGCTCAGCCATGCCAGGGGTCTGGGGTTTGCAAATCCTGGGTTCTTCATAGATGTTACTCAGCGCCACCAGCAGGACCAAAGAGTTTAATGTGAATAATTAAGAATAAATGTTCTGTTCTTGGTGGCTTCCAAGTCTTAATTTCCCAAAGAAAGCTGTTGTTCCCTTCATCTACCCACTTTTTCAGTGAATGGATAGGAGAAATGTTATAATGTTAAAATGCTTTGAATACTTTAAAGATAAGCATAGATGTGCAACTGGTTTGAATGAAAGATGCAATTGTTATGTAACTTTTTCATGTTAATTGAGACATCCAAGCAGATTGTTAGAAAAGGCAACTTTGATATATCGGACATAGTTTTCCATGCAGATCTGGACATTTGACCATCAGGAGGGTTTGTGGTGGTTCTGGAACGTCTGCGTTTGTCTCCCTGTCTAGATGTCTGACATGCCAAAGCCCGCCTTCATGAGGCAGAACCTGGACGAGCTGGGAATAGGAACGTACCACAGCATCGCCTTCATCCACCCAGACACCCCCATCATCAGAGCCTTGAGCATATTTGTGGAGAGACGAGTGTCGGCTTTGCCCGTGGTGGACGAGTCAGGTCTGTGCAGCTGTCCCTGCCAAACCATAGTCCCTGTTTACTCTTCAAGGCAAAGTATGGGAGAAGCAGAGACTGAACTTTTAGATGCAATGCATTCAGCACTTAGGAGCTCTCCGGAAAATAAGAAATTTAAACTCGTTTATATTCATAGTTTCACTAAAATATGATTTCATGTCCATCTTAAAATAGACATGATCTTTGTTCTTCATGGACAAAAACTGGAGTCCTCCAAGGAGCAGCCAGGCGACGGAGGTGGGTGGAGTGTCAGGGCTTGTGAGTGGCAGCTCAGACAGGTCTATCAGTGCTTAATCCCTGGTAACGGCTTAGTTAAGACTGATTTTAAATGAGTTATTTCTGTTCCTCAAATATTTTTCTAACACATATTTTCATTTTTAGGAAAAGTCGTCGATATTTATTCCAAATTTGATGTAATTGTAAGTACTTTCAATTTTTTAAAACCTCTTAGAACATATCTTAAAGCCTGTTTAACCTATTTTTATGTTTTTCTCTTGTTCCCTAATAATTCCTAACTTCTTTGAGGTTGAAAATCTTAGAAAATTTCAGGCTCCCCATAGTAAAGACTTTTAATATTCATTGGTTTAGCAATGAATCATATGTTAGTGTGCAGTAGCATTTAGTACTTGTTTGTCTTTCCAACAAAAGACAGACCTGCCACTGTAGTGTGTGTTGAAATGGTCATGCTGTCTGTAGGTGCGTGCTCAGTATACACGGGAGTTTGTGGATGCCCTTCCAAATGCACCCTCCTGCTTGCTGACTGGGAGCCACTGTTCGGAACAAGATTACAAGTGAATTTTTATTAAATAGCATTACATAGAGTCCTATATTTGAATCCTGACTTAATTCTCCTAGGTTCACTGTCCATTCTGCATCTTTCCATGTGCAGCTCCTTTCTTCCCATTTACTCTAAGGAGTTTGACACTGTTTCTAAGAAAAGGAACAGATACTTTGCTCCAAAGTACACACCATGTGTTGCTACAGTACTGACCCCTGCATTAAATATTCTTTTGCATCTGTCTCAAATCTTTGGTTCATCCTATTCTGTTTAACATATTAGACACCAAAATATATGTTCATTGGAATTTTGGTTGAATGGGACCCACTAAAATTAATCAGAACCCTGAGACACTATTTGGCTTTATGAGACTTGACTTCTCAGACCTGCTGTTCTCCCATAAATTCTTGACTCTGATGGGCCACTGCTGTTGCCACCACCAGCACCACCACCAAGGCCTTCCTGGCAAAAGCCTTATCTCTGTGGAGCTCATTGGGAAAGTTTATTGATGCAGGCTCCCTACCTCTGTAGTACTTGTCACCTTTTATAAGTGTTAGTCCTCTCAAAAGATGCTACCAGGCCCAGTGTGGAGCACTCAAAGGTAAGAATGAGGAAAGCCTCTGGCGGGATACGTCACTAACACTTACAACACACTCCATAGTTAAGGTGTACCTCGTGATGTGAAGTCTTTAATTATGATTGATAAGACGATGAAATGACAGCCCTGTGGCATGATACAAGCTAGAAAGAACTTTTGGTGTCCAGATAAGATAAATATTAAAGTTTTTACAAATCAGCTTGTTTTAAACTTGACACAGTTTTGCCATTAATGTGGATCAGAATGAAAGGGTTCTGATCTGTGACTGTTACAGAATCTTGCTGCTGAGAAGACCTACAATAATCTGGATATCACGGTGACCCAGGCCCTGCAGCACCGATCACAGTATTTTGAAGGCGTTGTGAAGTGCAGTAAGCTGGAAACACTGGAGACCATCGTGGACAGGATAGTGAGAGCCGAGGTGAGAGCCCGGGCCCCAGCCTTCCACCTCCTCCCTGTCCCACTGCAACAAGCAGGCCACTGCCATTGCCCTGGGCCTAGCGCAGCTTCCTCTGGGTGATCCAGAAAGGGTCGTTGAATTGAAGTGAGTTCATTAATAATTCTAATATCATAGTTGAATTGAAAACACTGGTGAGATACTTTCACAGCCTGAAAAATGTGCACATGAGGAAACAAAAATTGCCCCAGAAGCTTTAAACTCAGAGTATTTATGAATTCCAAGTTTAAAATGTATGACTTATGTTATTTTAACAAAGTAAATGGTAAATCAATGAAACAGAACTTTTTAAAGTTAATTTGCTCTCTTCATACCAATCTCTCTCTTCCCTGATTTAGATCATCATCAATGGCCTAGCAGCCCCCAGTCTCCTGAGCCTCAGCACCCATAGCCCTGTACTCCGCGGCTGAGTGGGTGTGCGAGTATGCGTGGTGCAGGACCCTGTAGGGAAGAGGGGAAGGATCTCCGTGTGGCTTGCCTAATTCAGCATACCCATTCCCACTGTCATTCCTGTCCTGTCAGGCAGGTCCAGGAGTGTTGTCCTGTGTCAGTCTTTACAGCTAAAGCTATGACTCTCTTCCTTCTGGAAGAGCCCCCAGTTAAACAAAATGCATTCCTAATGAGAAGTCTGTTTTGATATTATTATAAATGTAAGAGAACTGGCCAAGAAGCAAAGTTCCTGATTATTTTTAAGCTAATAACATGTGACCTTACATTGCTTTCTGATAGTGACATGCAAAGTTACATCAAAGGCCATCGTTGTTATTAGAGATGAGATCCACCAAGCCCTCCTTTAACTCTGTATGTTCAAGCACCCCACCTCCTGTTTCCTACTCTGAGTTAGCCCCCAGCTCCGCCCCCAGATCAAGGCTTTTAACTGCTGCACTAGCATCTCAGAGGCAAGCCTTCCCTTGTTCTACTTGAGTTCACCACTTGTTTTCAAAAGGTGTCAATTGACTTGGGAATACACCCTAACTTTTTATTAATGTCTTTGGAATTATGTACCTTCTGAAGATAAGCAGAAACAGGTAAGGTATCTCTCCCTATGTGTGAGGACAGTGGACATCCATGTGACAGAGTCCTTTATGACAATTAAAAATCATGTTACACATTGAAGACTATCCACTGGTATTGATGCTGAAAACCACTAGCAAGGCATTGCTAAGAGAAGAGGCCGGGCACTGTGCCCAGCAGGACTCCACGTGCTGTCCACGTGCATCTGCACAGAGAAGAGGCTCGAACACACACATAGCACAGGACCGACAGCGCTGTCTCTGGGCAGTGGAGTCCTGGGTGGTGTGGGGAAGGCCTGTGCTCTTCTCTGTTCACCTGACGGCAGTAGAAATCTCTGCAATACAAAAGAGGACATTGAGGAAAATGATAATACAACTAAGTAGTTTTCTCAATTACACATCTTCACATTTTCCCTCTTTAAAATTCTTTGACCAGATGACTCCTATTGGAGCATGAAACCAATTTTTAGCTTTAATGTAGTTTGTTAGAAGAGGGTTCACGGGGTCAATAAAGACTCGGTTTATAGGAAAAACACAACACTAACTTTAAGGTACCTGGGACAAGGAACACTTGTAGATTTCAGACTCAGCAATAGTTGTCATTATTTTTGGTTCTCGTTTACAAAGAATCATGTGAGCACTCTAGGGGAGATGATTTCCCTTGACCTTCAGTAGATCAAAAGATATTATTACAATTATTAAATATTGATAATAAAATATGTCTAGCATAGAATTTAAAACATTCTCTGATCCTAGATATAAACCATTATTTTAATTTATAGTTATGGTCAGTAATTATACTGTGTTATATCACAGGAGTATTGAAGAACCTGAAAGCTTATTAGAAAACTTTTTGAAGAAATTTATGTTGCTCAATATGAGAAAGATGACCAAGTGACTTTTATTAACCTAAAGCAAACTCTGATACCAAAAACATCACCAACATCGTGTCATTAGAGACAAACTATAAAAGCAGAATTTCCCCCATTCTCTATCTCCTTCCTGTGTCCAAATTTTTTGCAAAGGCTCTGCCTGTTCTGTGGAGAGGATCCTGTGGGGAGCCATCTGGCCCGCGGTTGCTTCTGGAGATTAAGTCAGAGAGGCCAGAAGAGCACCGTGCTCTTGCCATGCCATCCGCTGGAAGGATGTTACAGTAATGCTGCAGAATGTCCTCCATTCATTTATAAATAGTTTAGAGAGGAAAACTAGAGGTTAATAGTATCCATTTCACTTCATTATAGTTCATTTATCCTTCTGAATATTATTCTTATGAATTTCATAGAGAAAAGACACTACAGAAAATAAAAGGCAATCTTAGGTGGCCCTGTTTCCTAGTTTCTGTAACAGTCTGGATTTCTTTCCCATGTAGAACAGGTTTCCTGATGGCTACTAGAAACAGATTCACCTTTAAAAAAGTAAAACTTCTGTGCTTAAGAGAATGTCTATAGCTACATTGTACTTCTGTGCTGAACGTGCCTTTTATCAATGTTCTGAAATTTTAAAACTCAATAGGATATAGTTGGCTTATACTTCTTGGACAGGGTCAAGCAAATCAGCATTGCACTTTGACCCTAGAGCCCCAGGCCTTTCTCTGGCTCAATCCACCATTGCTTCCTCTCATTTGTAGGATTTATTCATTGTACTAAAGTGCATGAGTGGCATTTTCCCCAATATCCCTCTTAAAACACTTTTTATTTACACGCAGCCTGCTTTCTCCTCTCCGCAGGTCCACCGGCTGGTGGTAGTAAACGAAGCAGACAGCATTGTGGGTATTATCTCCCTGTCAGACATTCTGCAAGCCCTGATACTCACACCAGCAGGTAAAAATGCTGACTTCAGTCTTGACCCCAGTGTCTAGAAAGGGAGGGAGGTGGGGTGGTGAATGGTGTTTTCTCCCATTTCCTCCAGCCCCCCACTCCAGATCGAGGCTTTGTATGTTACCTTGTCGTCCATTTCCATTTTCATTCTCGTCTCAGTTTTGAAATTTTGATGTTCCATTTAGAGGAAGAAAGTTATAGGAGATATTCCCAGAGGGGAGGAGGGTGGCGGGGACCCGAGAGCTGGGGTTTCTCACGTGCTGTGTATTCAGTGGTGAGATGGGCTCTACAGGTCTCGAAACCACCAGAGCCCCTCCCTTTCTGTTTCTCTTCTTCCCACTGCTCTCCCTCCTGGTCCGGATCAAATGTCAGCAAGCCAGCCTTGCAGGGCCACAGACCCAAAGCCAAGATGGGACAATAAGTGGCACTTATTATTGTTTGAACTCTCTGGAGTGGAGCAGTAAATGATGCATGTTGTATGATATTGATTTTGCGTCAGTTCAGAATCAATCAAACTCAGCCAAGACTAGTTTTTATTTTTTTAGTTGTAGTTGGGTACAATACCTTTATTTTATTTATTTATACGTGGTGGTGAGGATCAAACCCAGTGCCTCACGCATGCTAGATGAGCGCTCTACCGCTGAGCGGCACTCCAGCCCCCCAACACTAGTTTTTATAATTAGTCTGTAACCTAAAAACGCCCACCCTAATGGAGTCCCCACCACCTGAATCATTCTTACTAGTTGAGAATGCCAAGAGAGCTGTCCTGTGGAGCAGTCCCCTTCACAGGTGGCCTGGGCTTCAGCATCAGCATTAGTTTCACCTGGAACTTATTAGAAACGCCTGTGGAGGGACCACCATGCATGTAGTAAGTCAGAAACAGATGCTGGGTCAGATGGGCCTCATACAGTGATTTTCAGACTCCAAGTGTTCGAGAGCTTCAAACTCACAATAATCTTCATAATCATGAAATAGTATAAACGAGTATGAGATTGCTTGTTGCATTACCCTAAAATTGGAATAACCCAAATATCTTTCAAAAGAAGAATGGATAAATTGTGTCATTCACCAGCGAAATCCTCACAGCCCCAAGAGTGAGCCCCAGCTACCTGCCTGGTGGTGCAGAACGCCCCCCCCGCCCCGCCCCAGCAACACTGCAAAGAGGAGGCTGCACTAACCCACACCAGGGAATGCCGGTATATAAATTTCCAAGCGTATTAGGAAAAAGCTTCTTCAATGAGCAGACTCAGCCCCACAGGTGTATAGCTTGACATCTTCAGTGAAAGATCCCCTTTGTAGGGACTGGCCCGGGACCAAAGCAGCAGTCTGCCAGCAGAGTCTGTCTGAAGATCAGCCCAGGGCATCTGTCCCTTTGACCAAGATCTTTTGGGCATTAAAAACTCCAAGTAAACCCGTCAAGTGACTTATCGTCTGGGCCTTGGTGTCTCAAACCATAAGCATGAGAAGGGCGAGCTGGATGAGTTTAAATTGCCTCTAGGCTCGGTATTTCAAAACTGTAAGTCATTCACGCTCCTCCCACCCCTGCTGAGACAGTGACGCAGTCTGTTTCACAGCTGGAATTTGAAGTGTTTGTTCACTTAGAAATCACTGGATTGGCATTCTCAATGGCATATTGTATACAACCCCATTCGTTAGGGGAAACCTTCTGTGATCCTGATAGCTGGACTGCAAGTGAGCACCTGGAGAGGAGCTCACAGGACCCGGGTCCATCCGCCACAGCAGTCAGCACCCGTACGTCAGGGGAGGTACCCATGTGTTCAGCAGCTGAATGCCGGCACCACTGGTTCCATCCCGATGTGGCTCTCTGAATGTCACCTCACCTCAGTGAGCCTCAGTGTCATCTGTAGAGTGAGCAGGATGCACAGTCCCATCTCCTACTAAGATTCCATGAGATGAAACAGAAACCATGAATGAAAGCCACTGGTGCTTGGCAGGGCACCCAGGATGAGCACCGCTGGGTGGCCATTTACGGAATAGTCAGAGGACTGTTGAGACCTACCTGCTGTGATGCAATGAAAAGTGCCAGTGGCCATTCTTTTCACCATATAAGGGCCACAGTTCCCTGTTAGGGATACTGATTCAATACAATAATATTTTCTTTTTTTTTTTTCAAAGTTTTCAGCAATAGTTCATTGCTGAAACTTAGACTGCATGTGAGCCTGTGTAGCTACACCCACACCGGATGGGCGTGCAAGCAATCTGATGGTAGTAACAGCCGGGTTTTAGCCCCTTATCCTAGTAGATTGTTAATCTCTTCCTGAAGTCTAGCATCTGCTGTGTTCAGAACACTCGCTTTCCCTACTAACCCATTGTGAAATGCCCTCGCCAGACTCTTGTAGGCATTGCATGAATTTTCCCTAGACATGCTTTGTGTTTTAGACTTTTGTAGGTATGCACAACTGAAATTCTCTGTGCCTATGCTAAAACCTACCTACATACATCTTCTGAAGTTTTTAGCAGTGGAATCGTACATATTTAGAATCACAACTTGTAATGTGGATCAGCACAGCAGTGTGTTGGTGGGGGTAGCTGGGAGCCGCCTGCCTGCTCCTTCCCCCCGCCCACCATTGTCCTACGTGCTGGGCACGTAGAAGCCAGTGGTGCAGAGCACTCTACTGTTAGCATAAGCTTTGAAACTTTCATTTTCCATCTTTTGGCAGGTGCCAAACAAAAGGAGGCAGAAACAGAATGACGGCGGAGAATGTAGACCTCCTCGTAGGAGAACTTGAACAAAGTTTCTGGGTCACGATTTGCCTCATGAACACTGGCTGCAAGTGGGAGAGAGTAAAATGGCGAAGAATGTATATCAGGGTTTAGTAATGGGTGTTTTTCCAGTGTTGTAAGCATAAAAAAAGAGAGATTTTATGTGCTTGAAGATTCAGCCTTGCGTTAAAGACTGTTTTCAGACCTTCATCTGAAGGATTTTAAATGCTGTATGTCATTAAAGTGCACTGTGTCCTGAAATGTTTATTATTTTTCATTTCCAAGAATTCACTGGTATGGAACAGGTGATGTGACATAAGGTGAGTGTACAGCATGTTTAGATCACAGTGCCTTATGTCCGAATACAGCAATATGTCATCGCTGCTGCCCGCCCCGCCCGAGAGTGCGCATGAAGTGACACCGAGCTTGAATGTGGAAGTCTTTGAACCTTTTACCAAATCAGTTATTTTCATTAGGTTCGTCAAAAAGTTGTAATTTGAATATAAATAATTTCTTTACAACTTCAATGACACTTCTGTAAGTGTCTGAGCTAACATGTCAACGGGCTGCTTTACGACAGCTTTATTTATTTTTACTTTCATGCAGTTTTTTTACACATCCCTTGGTGGGTAAACTTCACCATGTCCTTTAATAAACTCTTGGTTATTTCAAAATGGCAAATTTCTCATTATTTAATTTTGGATCTGGAAAGGATAGGACTTCTAAAATAGCCACTGTTGGGATTTAAAGACATGGAAACAGGCCGTGGCTGGGAGGAAACAAAGTGCCGGGAAGATGTCTATTTTTTTCTTGTGTATTGAACTGTAAAATCATGATGTTTGTGTGACTGTTGATGAGACTGTAAATCTGACTGTGGCACAGCAGTGCTATTATAGAGTTGAAGCAAAACAACATTGCCTGATGTAAGTGCTCTGAACATGTTGACGCTGTATATATATGAGGAGAGGTTGAGGTTTTGTTTTTTGGGTTTTGTTTTGTTTTTTCAAATTGAAAAAATAAATCCTACTATCTACCATTTTGTTAAAGAGGTTCTTTAAAATACCGTGTATTTCTACGTGTATTAATTAAAATTCTACATGCAGTTTTCCTCTTAGCTGTTTCTCCCCAAATAAGGGAACACATGGATTCTCATCTGTTATCCATCATCAGAAAAAAAGCTCATGATTTAACTCATGACCCCTTTCCCTCCATTATTAAATATTAACATGTTTAAAAATTGCTACACAGATTTTCTTGTGCTAGGTGTCTGTTTCTTAAGCCAAATGTGAGAGGAAGAATATATAGTGTGTTTCCCCATGGAAGCAGTTGTGGTTTTTTGAGTTAAACTAGTGGCAATATTTGGGAGGAAGGGAACGTGTCTCAAAGTTGCTGAAGCAGTGAAGTTCTGGAGGGACCTGATGAATCCACTCCATCTGTAGCACACCAGTGCGTGCAGAGGCTCCAGGCACAGAGGTGTGCAGGTGTAGACAAAAATGTGTCTTTGCTTTAGGAAACAGTTTGGGGCCCCTTTAAAACATGCGCGTTTCCTGCTCCTGGGAGGCCTGGGTCAGGGGCTCTGGCTCCCATCAGCGTCCTTTGTCAGGGTTTGTTCCCTCTGTGGCATGCCAGGCCCACCAGGGTTGGGAGCAGCCTGCTCCCAGCGTTAGACCCCACCTTGGCTGTTAGGAGTGTCTTTCCGTCTACAGGCCTCTGATAAAGGCTAGGTGTGGGCAAGTGCTTCTCAGTGCCCTCCTGGGAGTGAGGGAAAGTGGAACGTGTGCGTGGAGGAGAGAAGCCAGGTGAGCCTAAAATAGAAGAACCCACCTCAGAAGCCCTGCTGGACAGCCCTGTGCTTGTGTCAGCTTCCCTCTTGGTGCCTGCAGGGTGTCTGTTGGCGGAGCCACCGGGCCATGTGAGGAGGCCCCAGTGCCGGGGCCTCAGCTCTGACTCCAGGACCCGTGCTGCAGCCAGCAAGGCAGGAGCATGCTGGAAATAGCACCTCCATTCCAGAAAGGGAGGGCATCTGCTCTGTTTTACATTCTAACCTCTAAGAAAGGTTTGCAACGTAAATTTATTGAGCCGACAACATGTCATATAACATTTTATTGGAGAATCATTTACATAAGCAGTCTTCTAGGCCAGTGGCTCCCAACCAGAGGACATTGTGTCTACCAGGAATGTTTGGCAACTGGACACATTTTTGGTTATCAAGACTCGGGGTCATGCAGGGAGGAGGGTGCTGCAGGTGCCAGAGAGCGGAGGCCAGGGTGCCACTGGACAAACTGTGACTCCCAGATGCCCCCACAGCAGCCACCCAGCTCCAGACCAGTGAAGCACTCCAAACAAGTAGAATCTCTGGGTACTTTACATTTCTTGTTCTCTGATTCCACCTGTTGTTGGAAGAAAACCTCAGCAGGCAGTCAATCAGGTTAAGGGACTGTGGAAATACCCCACAGGTGAATTCCACAGATCTCCATGGCCCTTGTCATGAATTCCTTCCAAAGAGATTTTCCCCAAAAAAGGGAATTTTGCTTTGCATAATGGTACCCTCAGGAAGAAATTCCTACCCATAGGGAAATACTTAGAAAATAAATTACTTCATAAATCTAGAACAGGCTCCAAAATTGTTTTTTCACATAAAATTACCTACAAAACTGGTACAGTTGTAAGTCCACATGAAGAGCACGCTTAAAACACATTCACCTAGCCAGGTATGGTGGCACATACCTGTAATCCCAGCAGCTTGGGAGGCTGAGACAGGAGAATTGCGAGTTCAAAGCCAGCCTTAGCAACTGTGAGGCACTAAGCAACTCAATGAGACCCTGTCTGTAAATAAACTACAAAATAGGGCTGGGGATGTGGCTCAGCGGTAGAGCACTGGCCTAGCACATGTGGAGCGCTGGGTTTGATCCTCAGTACCACATAAAAATAAAATAAAGGTATTGAGTCCAACTATAACTAAAATATTTTTTAATTAAAAATAATAATAATAATAATAGGGCTGGGGATGTGACTCAGTGGACCAGTGCCCCTGAGTTTAATCCCTGGTACCAAAAAAAAAAAAAAAAAAAAATTCACCTGACCCTCATAGATTCCTTCTCGTGCTGGATACTCATCACCCCGCTTTAGAGTCTGCCTAAGCGAGGCCACAATAAAACCATGGAGGGGCTTTTGTTGTTCATCTCTCAAAGCAAAGTAGGGTTCCCTCCTGCAGGGAAGTCTGGGAAAATCAGGTACCAAATTGTCTAGACAGCTCCATGCTTTGAGTACTAGCCTCTACCTGTGAGGGCTTTTGCAGATCAGAATCTGGAAAATGGCTGAAACCCCTAAGTGTGCTTTTCCTCCCAGACCTACAATGAAATCACCTGATTTCCTGCTCGGTGACGCACATAGCCCTGGGCCCATCCTCAGAGTCCCAGAACCGGAGGCCAGTTAGCAAACAAGCCCGCTAGGCTTGAGCGTCCGAGAACCAGAGCCCCATGGTCACGTGTTCCTACCGTATTGGGGCAAGAAAGAGAACAGGCCCCATATTTGTCCCTATTTGTCCTTGTCAGGGAATCACCTGTAGGTACCTTGTGCTTCCCCGTGGCTCAGAGACCCTCTGCAGACAGGGAAGTATCAACTCCTGGAAACCAAGATGCAACTTCCTGACACAGGCAAGCAGAGCCACCCGTCACCTCTCAGGGCCCTTCCTGCCACCCACGCATCCTCTGTGACAAGACCACCCCCACCCCACCATCCACCATCCGGGCCTCTCCAACCAGAGGCAGAGCCGTGAGTCTGCCCTTATGCCCAGCACACCTGCCCTTAAATGGCAGGCAGAGGAGACAGGTCATCCACAGACTTGTCCTGAGGACTCACGATCCCATCCTGCCCACAGACGGCCTCATTCATGCAATTTGTTTGCCAGGAGCTGTCACCTGAACCTGGAGGCGTTGCTTCTCATGGATACAGGGTCGCATTCCCACCTGGAGCTGCCGAGGGGGCGCCCCTGAGTGGGCGAGGTGCTGCTTGTTTACCCCAGGCCGAGTTCCTTGCTCATAAGAGCAACCACCTGGTCCCACGCCCGCAGGGCCCCAGCTGGCTGCAGCAGCGTGAAGAACCGCCTTTCTTTCCTGCAGGCCCCCTTCACTGCAGCTCAGGCCTGTGAGACCCCAAACTGTCACTAACCTGGGTTTCTAGAGGGACACTGCCTCCCGCTACACAAGACAAACACAGACACTAAACCACTAAAGGCCAGGTCCGCTGAGCTCCTGCCAGCAGCGCTCTGAGGACAGCATGGGGTGTCAGATCAGTAGGGGCAGGCAATGGCCAAAGGAGGCAGATTTAAAAAGGGCCACTTAACAGGCTTTATTGAGATTTCACTCCCCGGCGGAACTCGATCAGACCCACAGAGGGGACAGGGGAAGGGTCTGAGGAGAAACCGCGTGGAAGCTCAACTGGACTGGACTTTTATGGGGCTTACAGCAGGAAGGGAAGGGCTTGGGACAGGAAAAGGTGTCTCTAGGGTCCCTTGCCCCCTTGGAGTTGGTCAGGGGAGTTGGCTGAACTCCAGGATTGGCCAGGGGGTCTTGTTGATTGACAGGCGTTAGTCAGGAGATCTGGCTGATTGACAGGCGTTTCCGTCGGCATCTGATTGATGTTCAAAGCAGCTCGGGCTGCTTTGTTCTAAGTTGCCACTAAGTCGCCACCAAGTCGCCGCTGCCACCGACCTAACATGGGAGACCCTCCCCCAGGCCCTCTTTATACTGGAAGGCCTCTGGACAGGCCCTTCAGGGTGGTCCTTAGCCTGACTTCTGCCTGCAGCCCACCAGCCTCACCTCGGCCTCCCAGGGGAAGGAAAGGGGTCCTCAGCAGAATCTTGTCTCCATCTGTGGCCCCCTAACCTCTGGGATTGGCCTTTCACTGCCTACAGGGCACCCCACTTCCTCACACTGCCCATCTCCAACATAGTCTCCTGTCACCTCTGCCATCTGCACACAAGCAGAGAAGCTAGAACCCCAAGTTTTCTGTATGATTTTTAATCCCCCTTCTCTCTGCCCCTTTGAAAAGACAGCTTTCTTTTTTTTATTTTTATATTTTTTAGTTGTAGATGGACACAATACCTTTATTTCATTTATTTATTTTTATGTGGTGCTGAGGATCGAACCCAGGGCCTCACACATGCTAGGTGAGCGCTGTACCACTGAACTACAACCCCAGCCCCAAGACGAGCTTTCTAAGGTCTTCAAATTGATCAGCCCTAAGAACTGTCCCTTCCAACTCACAGTCCTCATGGGTAGACTGCAGTTTAAACCAAACACCTGGTCATTTCATTTCACTGCTCAGAAGTCCTCCGCGCTGGCCTGCGCTGGGGGGTGAAGGCCCTTCCGTCCCTCAGGGCCCTGACCCCCAACCTCCCCACCGAGCTCCTGCTCCCAGCCCCCTTCTCCCTCCCCACCTACAGAAACCAGCCGTCTCCCAAGGCCCTCAGCGCTCGGGTGACTCTCCCTGCCCAGCAGACGGCACTCCCTGCCTGGTGCTCTGGAGCCCTATCACACCACTCCCAGCTGCTTCCTTCCTGGCCAGCAGAGCGGTGAGCGAAGCTGGCTGACATCTTACCAGGAAATGTGGTAAGCTGCCTTGCCTTGCTCAGCCCGGGCTCTCGCCTCTGTGAAGTTGTCAGGAGGGATTAATATACAGTCCAGCACTGCAGGGTGACATTTTAGCCAACAACAGACCACCTATACCATAATAGTCCCTTAAGGTTAAAATGGAGCTGAAAAATTCCAATTACATAGTATGTAAGACTTGATGATGATAAACAGTGGTTTTGGTTTCTTTCTTTATCAGGTTTTTAATCGTTATTTTAGAATACACTCTACTTAGGAGGAAAAAAGTTGACCGTGAAGCCGTTTGCTGGTTACCCTGGCGCAGCCTCATCTGCTCCTGTGTGCAGTGACTCTTCATCAAGGGGCCTCCAGTGGCTGACCTATTCCATCTCGGCTTATATAAGTACCTGTGATGTTTGCCCAGTAGAATGACGTTTCTCAGAAT